AGAGAACAGTAATTACAAAGTTCAACGGCAATGGACAGCAAAGGTCGTCTCGCATTTATCTGAAAGCAGTACTGCTCTTTTAACAGAACTCATGTTTCACTAGAAATGGGTTTTATCCTTTAGGATTATTTTGCTTATATAGGTTTTGAAGAACTTGACATCTGGGTTCTGCAGAAGGACAGTTATTTCAAATATAAGGATTACCTGAGGACGAAGTGCAACGTGGTACTCTCTCATAAGCTCAGGTGAATAGAGGCAGGAGATAGGCTGAAAAGGATTTAAAGCCACCAGGCTGCAGCCAGCATTTGTATAAAACAAGTTTACTGTATATCTTGCTTGAAGACATTTCAGAACTGAAAGACACACCTTCTGTTAGCATCTTTTGAAAAGTGTATTTGACTCTTCCTGTCCTGTTTGTAACAGGAATCTTCAGATATGTTACCTACTAGGTTTAACAGAGAATGAGGTGGTCAAGAGAGTGATATAGGTCTAATACACATAACAATGTCTTCATGAGTTGCCCTTATTTTTAAAAATCTTAAGGGATCTGCTAACTATTCCATTCAATAAATCCTGTGCTTTTATGAGGTTTCATATAGTCAGTCCTAGAAAGCAAATCTGTTCACTTGCAGAACAGAGGCAAGAATTCTCCATCTGCACTAGGAACAGGCCTTAGCTTCTCTTAACAGGATCATCTTTAAAAGTCGAGTGAGGAATTTACTTTTCAAAACCAATTTCGTGGATATATTTTGAATCTTAGAGCCTCGTTTTCTGATACGTTCACGTAACACCAAACTGCAATCACAAGGTCATGCAGGAGTCCTTCAATAGCATTAACTCTCAACCACACCCCGGCTACCTGAACCAACAATACAGCTGTGAGCTCTGCATGCAGAGCTTGGTAAGAGATCAGCACGGCTAAATCTACAACAGAAGTATTTAAAAAAATTTTCAGCCAAGCCAAATGTGACTTTCTAAGGCTTTGAATAGGCTTTAATAGGCTTTGAATCTTTAACTACTGTGTTCACGATAGTATTAATGCGATAAGAACAGTAACTACCGTATATTAGTAGCCACCAAGGAAAGTGACTCCTCAGGAGATACTCCCCTGGCTGGCTGCTTACCTGTTGTAGTGGTCACCGGATTAACTTTTGTGAGGTCATCAAAAAGATGCAGTTTCTCTTCATCACTGAGGAACGCTCTAACTTCTTCTTCAAATGATTCACTGAGGTCATTCTGGATGATAGAATCTTCTTTTTGGCCATTTTCCTGGAGAGGATGTCAGATCAGCACCAAAGGCTGAATATAGCTGGACTTTCACCTCATCCACTACAGTTTATAGCTCTTCTACTGCTTCCATGTAACAGAAGTTCAGTCTCAGCAGGAGCCATAACTTAGTACGTTTGAGCTACTCTTCCTCCCAGCTGCCCTCCCCCAGCATCAATGGTTCCCATGGGGTGCTCTGTTTTTAGAAAGGTATTATCTAGCATACGAGAGATGGCAGGCTGACAACGCTGTCTGCAAACTGAATTCATCGCTGGTAATTCTGGCTGTAAGCAAAGGCACTCAGAAAGAACGTGTCCTTAGAGTCACGCTACCTGGCACTTGCAATTTTGCAGGTCGTTCAGCACAGACATACTTACACAGTGTTCGTAACTGGCATATTTCTAAGCCTATGAATGTCATGCATTCAATGCAAACACTGCCTTGGGCAGAGGGAAGCAGGAAGGACTGGCTGCGGAGGCTAAGCTAGAGCTGAAAACTACTGTGGTCCAACACAAATGCAGTTTTCCTAGCAGAGACTTTCATTTTTAGAGCAGAGATTGAGGGCCCCAAAAGTGAAGTCGCAGAGTGCACACATCGCAGCCAGGGGAAAGAAATGGCAGCGTTGTAAGAGCTGGCCTGCGTTAGGTGAAGATTTGTCCCCTTTGAATCACTTAACGTATTTAAATCTTAGCCTCTGGGCTCCCACGTCCTTGATGATATTAGTTGGAAGGACACATTTGTTGTATAAACGTAATGGAAAACTTAGCCAGCAGAGAGATTTCAGGTCCTCTTTGTCATTTCTGGGGGGAAGGAGAGAGGAGCTATAAGGGAAAATGAAGGAGGGAAAAGATGCCAGCCCTGATTTTTGCTTTCTGGATATTCCTTTTCTGTTCTCCTTGACAGAAACTCCTTCAAAATAACCCTACTCATTTGCATTTAGTAGCATAAATCTGCAATTCTTTACAAGTTAACCAAGTCAATGAACAGTATCACCTTGCTTATGCAGAAAAAGCGCTAAATTTAGTTAGCAGCATTCCCACGACATGAGCTAAGCTCATTAATAAAGGAGAAAATATACCGCAAAACCCCATTAACACATTTCTAAAAAAAAAAATAAAGATACAATAATGTACTCATTTAGGAGCATTATCTTTTGCAGACAGCATAAGTAGTTCATTTCCAATAATACAAAATTTTACACAGCAAGGGGAAAAAAAAGCTTAGGAATGCAGTTAAGCATTGCCATCAAAGTGGTTTCGGTTATTCTCCTCTGAATGAACGTTAAGAAGCTTGCTGCTTTCACACAGAACAGACACGCACCATTATGAAATACTCCGTGGACACAAGGAGTTTCTGCCAATCGCCCATTCCTCCTGTGCCCTCCCATGTGTTCGCTGTATTACGCTGGCACCAGCCAAGTTCTTAAGTCCGTTGTGCGGCTGATACTGCAGGACCTGAGAAAGGGCTTATTTTTGCTCGCCTGCACCCCCTTGCTCAACATCGCTTCATTTGAGAAGAGATGGTGATCGCTTAGCCAGAAGAAAAACAATATTTGAAAATACAATCCCTTCTGGTACCTATACTGCGTAGCTCATATGTCCATTAATTTTACTGAAAAAATACCCTTAAGGATGTGCTTGCTACACGCATTAACACCTGCCCCGCTAAAGCCAATGGCATAACAAAAATCACTAGCTGGTGTTAGTAACACAGCTCAAAAACACACAATTAGTAGGACCAGTCAATTCATTAAGTAAGGGTGAATATACATTAGTTGTTACCTAATCTTGACTGCATGGAAACAAGCCAAGAATTCTTTCCTGGCAGTAAAACTTAATTAGCGCACACAATTCCTGGGGTTTTTTTTACCTGCTTTGGCATCTTGTCCAGCCCTATGGATGGGAACGCTGGAGAGGGCCTTTACTCTAGGGTATCTCATTCAAATCAGGCTGAAGAACGCTTAAATTTAAAAAAAAAAAAAATTAAAAAGGCATTTAGAACAAAGTAACTCCGGACATGTCATTCTCTGGAGGGTTCCACAAGCAGAGCCCAAAGGCTTCAGACAGAAGTACTGATCCCGGTGGGGCCCAAGTAACGCTGGAGCTAGAAAGCCTACCCGCACTATCAGAGTAATAGTCATACAGGCTGTTCGCCCCTGCAAATAAAGCTTATTTGGAGGGAATAATATATCTTTCCTTACTGCAGGAATAAAATGCTTTGTTTCTCTTGAATTAATAAAGCAAGGTTTCTTGGCAAGAGATTGCAACTTTGTTTTTGTTAAATTCCTCCTGTTAGGACAAATAGGGAAGATTTGTGGGTCTGATGGCATCAGAGAAGCCAGTGCTTTTGGAAAAGGAGTGACTCAGAGAAGTTTTGTATTGCAGCAGAAACAAGATATGCTTGCTTGCTGTCCTCTTCCTGTTTCCTCTAAAAATCAGTGGGAGCCAACCCAAGGTGAGTTAAGCTCACCCTCTGAATCTCTGTGATAAACACAGGGATTCCAGTCACACAGCCAGGAAGAATTCTGTCTTCTTCCAGCAGCTGAAACAGCCATTACTTCTGTTCTGTTCTATTCCTGTTCCATTCTATTCCTATGCCATTCTATTCCTGTGCCATTCTTCTTCCATTCTTACCTGGCATGAAAACACCATTTAGAGACTACTTTGATCCATGAACTGAAGCGCATAGAGCTCACGGTACACACAGCCATCATCAAGACCCTTTCTGCCTTTAAAGGGTTTCTAATCTAGTTACTCTATTATGCTTTCCTAGGAGAAGTGGTGCTTACAGCTGGCCGCGGAGTTCTTTGTGCCAGTTAAACCAGTTCCCCAAAGGACACAGGCTGTCACAGCTCCCTGCTGATGCAGTCTCTCCTCCAGGCTTGGCCAGGGCAGAATCCGACATTCGCCCGGGCCCCAAGGTCGC